AAAGAAGAAAGGAAAAAAAAACCGATTACTTTCGGAAGTTATTGAAAGTTCGTTTACACACCTCTTTCCCGTACTGTGATGCATTATGCTCTCGAGACGGACTGACCTGAAATCTTCGGCCTCTACTGCTCTTCACGAAGGAACAGCATCACGACTCGTCATTCCGGTGCGCTTTCTACGGATTTGTCTGATATACTATGTGTCCCGGAAGTACAAAATAGTCATCGAACTACCTAGTGGATTCTTAAACTTCCAAACTTCCTTGGACTCTCGCCAACGATAAGTCTATTAACGTCACTTGCAGAAGAACCTGACGATACTTTGCAGAATAAAATGAACTGCGCCTTTCCACTCCTCCACGTTGCTCTAAAATCATGAACAACCTACAATCAAATCACCAGATCAGTCAGAGACAATTCAAAAAAAGAAAATTCCAATGGAGACCAATGTATGAAACCAATCTCACCTGGACTGCCAGAGTCACTATTAATTAGTAGTTATTAACTAAACTCGGTTATTTAAACATTCCAATGAAGAAAACCCTGTGAATGTAATAGTTAAAGTCGAATTGTAACAAATATTAATAAATCCTACCCAGTCAAAGTTGTTTTTAAATTTATTGAGCTTGACTACCTAGGTTAGTCTCTCACTAGAGGAAGAGTGTCTTCAGAGCTGGCATTCGGAAGCCGAATCGCAACGGGTTCCATCAAGCCGGTATGGTGCATATTATTCGACCGCTAGAAAAAGCTGGCTCTCATACCTGGTGTCATATTCTACCCGGTATGCTGTCCAGGCGACTACTCGGTCCGATGGAGTACTTGGTCCGCGCGCGACTCCTAAGGGTACTCGAGGCCGCGTCGAGAGAGACCTCTCTACATGGGTGGTCCATTCTCCTTACGCATGCATTATATAAGTTCAGTAAAGTTCACACTAAGGATACACGGGGGCCCTGTGTCCAGCAGCCAGCCAACGGAATTCGATAATTATATCCTAAACCGTTCTCTCACGCGTCCCTTTCTGAGGAGCAGTTCTTCTTAGGAAGTCTACGAATGCTAGCTGCATCTGGGTGAAGCGTGACTCTCTCCCCTTAGGATAAGTTCAGACGTTTCAGATTTGAAGATAAGAAAGAAGTAGCTCTGATCTTCAGGACTTTGATGGTGCCTTTGGTGAATGTTGGTTGTGGGCTGATTGAAGACCATGATACGTGAAAGAAGCTTGAAACCATCATATTGCTTGGGTTTGATGATAGAAGAATCCAGAAACTCGTAATGAGGTTGGAATTAAAATTAAACGATTGTGACTCTGTGTTGTAAATCAGGAGATTAAGATAAAAATCATTCAAGATAAATTGGATTGCACAATCAAAGTGTGAACCAGCTAGCTTAAACTCAACATAGGTCTACAACTCCAATACAGATTTTCAGTGATTCAGTCCTATCCCATGAGACCCTACAAAACAATATCAAATGTAAAACTGAACAAAGATGTTATAAGAATAATCAACATTGTGGATTCATAAAAAACTGTGTATATCACGAAGACTGGCTTATAGTACAAATTTTAGATATGCAAATAGTGGACTATAAGGGACATAAGGAGACTGACTGAAGGGCGAGCAAAGGGCAACCTGGTCGATTCATCATACCATGTCCTACGCTGCTCCTGAAGTCGTGATATAACTTACGAGATGTGGAATACAGAGAGGCAGAGAAACGTGGCCTGTGTTCTGTAGATAAGAACGGACCCTATATCCCGGTAACGTCGCCTCTACCCTTCCGCATCATCAGATTCCTTCCGGTCGCAATTACGTTTCAGATGGTTGCGTGGTCACGGGAGGATTATCGTCCCTCCTAAAGTAACACGAGTATCAGAAAAGATGAATGTATAGCCTTAATACTGATCTTGAATCACACGTAGCGAGAATTATTAATTGGACCATCCTGTAGATAAATTTTCATAATTCGATAGATTTGAATGTCCTAAGTGCAATATAAAATGAGTTTCCTTTGTAAAAATACATCGTGCCAAAAATGTGGGGTTAGATGATTGCACGAGATTTGAATAAAAATTGGACTAAAGAATAATAAGTATCGTAATAAATTTGAGGGTTTTTAATGGCATTTGTTGATTGATATAATGAAAATTTTTGAATTCCTATTAAATATTATTAATTATTAGAAGAAAAAGTTTGGATATTATTGCTATTTTATTCGTCGTAATTTCAATTTGAAGTCTACGATATACTTGTTGTGTCCTCTTGCGGCAAGATTTTGTAGCTTGCTGGCCATCGATTTTTCCGTTGGTAGTGAATTTTCAGAATACGTTATCTTTTTACGTGTTTCAAAAAGAAAGGACCGATAATTGCATAATTCTCGATAAATATTAATAAAATAATAAAATAATGATATTTTGTGTACTTGAAATTTTTGTTCGCCCATTAAAATGGCGAAAATACGGTGTGTCGAAGAATACGAAATTTGAATCGTATATTATCCACGATAATAACTTATAAAACAAATATTATAGCAGAATCATGAAGAATAATATAGAAAAATTGCTTCACTCACATTTTTCAGCATTCAGCTTTGAAATTCGCCCTCCTTTCTTCAATTTTTCACAGGAATTTTGCACTTCATACTTTTCACAAACTGCCGTTCGTACTTGCGAGAATCGAATTGGATAACTCGCACCGCGCATTCGATATCTCGCATACCTTACAACTGCGTATCATCGATATAATCTCCCTGAAAAGTACATACACATGTATACTTGAATAATGAACAATAAGAATATAATGTTAACAATTGCCAAATTATAAAGCAAATATTATAGCAGAATTATAAAGAATAATGTAGAAAGATTGCTTCACTTACATTTTTCAGCATTCAGCTTTTAAATTCGCCCTCCTTTCTGCGATTTTTCACCGGAATTTTGCACTTCACACTTCTCACAAACTGCCGTTCGTACTTTCGAGAATCGAATTGGATAACTCGCACCGCTCATTCGATATCTCGCATACCTTGCAATTGCGTATCATCGATATAATTCTCTCTGAAAAAGTACCTACACATGTATACTTAAATAATAAACAATATAATGTCAACAATTGCCAAAACTATATTTACGTTATGTTGTGCAACATCAATTGGTATGATAGTTTATGTGCACTATCAACAGGAAGCTGAAAGGTAATATATATTTTTAATAATAGGTTATGCACATGTAACGCCCGTAATCAAATTGTTCTCATCGTGTAACACGGATTAACCGTTGAAAATGTGGTATATATTATAACAGTAGAAATATGTATTTAAAATTGAGTAAAGAGAATATATTTCTTCAGATGTTTTGTTTTTAAGTCAGTGAACTAATATTCGATTAAATTGTCAATCGATAAACAATAAATTCACATTAGTGGTGATAAATTCAAATTAATTCAAAATACTGTTAATGTGAATCCTAGTGTCCAGTCCATGTTACATGACGCAATTATATTTCGCGGTACATTAATCTAACAGTTTTGTATATTTTCATAACTTTAACAGAAAACAGCTTCACTTAGGCGTAGAACGTGATATTGAACGTCAGAAAAGAAAGAAATTACTACAATCAAATCCATATTTGAAGGAACAATTAGAAGAAATATCAAGAAACAAAGAAAATCTTTAAACTTTATAACGTAAATATTGAATAATAATTAATGACAACAATTTGATGATTTGTTACTTTTGAAATTTTATTTTTACGTTTATAGTTATTATGTTATTTATTTCAGTTTTCACTGTTAAATTGAAATAAAGGTTAGGTAAAACTTATCCAATGAACATAATGACTACCGAAGAGCCTCCAGACCAACCAGGTAAATATATTTAAGATATATTTAAACTAACCAGTAATTAATTTATTCATCTTAACATATTTCCCATGTACAGATTTAATTTGCGTAGAAGAAAGTCTTATGAGCTTTGAAAAATTAGATAGAGCATCGCCAGATTTATGGCCTGAACAAAGTAAGCGTATTCTATACAATTATTTATTTTGTTTTTAATAAAAATGACGATATATCATATATATATTAGCGATTAATGAAGTTCCAGGTGTAAATGAATTTGTGGCTCAAAATTCCCCTCAAACAGAGCCATCTTCTTGGGCTGCTGGTCTCACTCCAGATGACATAAACCAGTTACATCGTAAGCTTATACTTGAGAAGAAAATTTTATAAAGTAATATTAATTCGTATGTTAAAAATAAGATAATTTTTGTGTTAGAATTAGGAAATTTGTCAATGGGTGGTTTAATATCTGAAGTAAAAAAGTTACATGACATGGCCTATCAATTGGGATTAGAAGAAGCAAAAGAGATGACCCGTGGAAAATATTTAAACATTTTCAAACATAAATAACAAAAGCTTGTTTGAAAAAATGACACGTAAGAAAATAATATCTTTTTCATTCAAATATACAGTAACAAATAAACTACTAACCCTTTAATTAATAGTTAACAATTTTCCAGAATCCACCTTGTATATTTCTGTACATTAACAAAGACTGATGGAAAGTTGGTGGTCATGTTGCAGTTGGATCCGTATGACAAAATACCTAACTGAAAGTTGTGTAAATATAATTGTAGTTTTATAAACATATGATTTAATTATAAATTAAATCTAATATATTATGAAATATTGAATGAATAACAAATTTTTACCAAAAAATTCATGTTGCCATGTTTAAGTATAAGAGGACTTCCATTATATCCTGAACATGGCATTTCATCCCCTATAGTACACAGTTCAACAATTAATCCTCGAGCATAGTAATTCTTGCATTCTTCGGTTGATACAATCTTCATTTCCAAATGTTGTTGCTTACAAGATCTCACTTCAATAGAAACTAAATAATTAGAACTTATAATTCTCTGTTCAATTAAATTTTATGTAATTTTCTTACTTCTTTGGTTTGCCAGTTCACCCCATCCAACAAGAATAGCATTCATTCCTACATTTATGTATCCATCTCTTGGTAAAAAACAGACAGGTTGAGCTATTACTAAATTGGGAAAAAGAGAAGGCAAATATTTTACATAGATACATTTTTAACATAAAAAAGATCTAAGAATATTACATAATTACCAGTATACTGTATTGATTCTTTCAAGTGTAACATTGCTATATTATTCGCAAAAGTTTCTGTTTGGTAATTAGGATGTTTTATCACATAGGATATATTAAGTTTTTGTATATTACTATCAGAAACAGTATCAATATTAAACTCACCAACGACCACAGAATTCCTAGTAAAAAAAAAATGAAATATCTGATGGAAGTAGTCCTTTCAAAAATTAGAGTACTCACAATTTATAATTTCTAGACTTTGCAAGAGCACAACTCGCGGTAGTCAATATCGTGCGCTGATTTAGAATTACACCATTGCAAGGATACTTCATTTCACCTATATTACCTACAACAAAATTACTAAAGATTACTGTGCTTTTAAATTTACTTCTAATCTTCACTTACTTATAAATCCAATTCTTGCTACGAAAGGATACGTTCCCATAGAATTACCATCCCCGCGCGCGGGACTGTTACCACATTCAGGAGTCAAGTTCGACCTCGTGAAAGATGCACCATCCTTTCGAGTGAAAATTGTGTTCACAGTATTGCTATCCACGTTACAACAAACCTTTGTTCTCGTATTCTCGTAGCCACAAATTGCTTGACGAAATCTGTGTTAATTTTGAAATAAAAATTTGATTTAGACTCGAATTTTTATAATTGATACGCTGTTCACATTTTCGTTCATTATATCATCACGATCACACTGATCTACCTATGAATCGGCAGCAGATTGTGATTCATTAAATTTGAAATAACAGTACAGTGTTCGAGAAAGGTACACATTTTGTTGTCTGGGCAATTGATCGAATTAATCGGATAATTTTCGCTAAGAAAATGTTGTGTCTGTTGAGTGACACTAAATGCGAAGATACAATGAAGAAGTATCGACGAAAGAAACATTTTTCTTCGGTCGACTGGCGATGTTTGAAACATATTTCGAACTGACCTGTTTGACAGATCCCATTTCGTAACACGCGATGTGGCATGGATTTCGTTACGATCAAGTCATTATTCCTTCATCCGCCGGAAGCCTCATTGTCATGAAGTAAACCGTACAAATGGTCGAACAGAAAATGTCTAAAACGATGCTTTTAAACAAACATCGCATTGTTTAACATTACGTAACTTGGACAATACGATTTTTATAGCAAAATAATTCCATCTAAAGACCTCATTGGAAAATACATCTGTTAAAGACAAATGTTAGGTCTCTTCGTGTTCTGGACGAGTATTAATCATAATGGATTTAACACTAGAACTACCAACCATTTAGATATAATATACATAGATAATAATAATAAAATAGTTCAATGAAATAAATAAGTACATACAATTATGTTTCTATACTTTAATAACAATCTATGTACATTAATTTTAATTAAAAATCTGTATGTTTCAATAATTGTTTTTTGGACTGGCCTGGTAGTTCCTGTATCAAAATAAAATCTTGTCTGATCCTGCAGAACATTTTCTACTAACATATTACAATTCTAAGCTAACAACGATAGAATTGCAAAATGATTAATATCTACAGTGCAAATGACGATTCTTGTTAGACTGAATGGCAATATCGACTATATCTGTACTTCTTACGAAATCCACTGCCACGATATTGGCAGTGAATTGCCAAATGGTACTGTACCAATTAGATACATTTAAGTTAACACTATGCGCCATCTTTCGAAGGTTTCCTAATTTGTTGAGAAGAATATCACTAAAATCTGCTGTCAATTCTGCCATTGCTGCTCGTGGCCTCAATACTTCATTGCTGTAACAGAATGATTATAAAATTCGCTGCTAAGATTTGACACGATGTCTAAATTAAATTTTCAACTGTACACGAGACGTTATCGATCTCTATATTTAAAAATGAAAATATTCCAAGTATTCTATACCTGTCTTCAGTTTCGATTTTATGCAAATATTCGTATAATTTTTGCACGTTCTTCACGTTTCCCCATTTATGCAACACACAAGGCCACATACTATCATAGCTGTTCACAATTTCCTTTTGCTCATAACCGATTATCAATCTACGCCCAGAAGACCAGATCTCATTCAACGTGATTCCCCATCCATGATTATTTAGGTGATAGTAGTCCCGAAATTCTTCTTCCAAGTATGAGACCAACGCTCGATGATCTGATATATTATTGAAACCTGTTTATTACAGAAAAATATACCAATTGATATAATGTAGAAATCTATTTAGCAGAGAAAAATGTAATTACACTCGAGCCTTCTATAACACGGTTGTTCAATTTTCGTTGCATCAAAACCGTGTTAAGTGAAACTTAAATCTAATACAAATTAACAAAAATAAATGATAGAATGCTATATGAAAACTGCCCAAATTTATTAAGTCGTATTATATAGAAATTTAATAAAAATATCGTGTTAAAGGAGGACTGTCGCAATTTTCGCATATTTCGATATCATATCGAAATCGTATCTTTAGAATACCGTGTTACAAGAGATTTAAGCGTAAAATTAGAAATAATAAAGAAAAAATTATTCTTCGTAATAACGACAATTAAGTATTCTTTATATCTTCATATTAAACATTACCAATGGGAAATTCACGAATATCCATTATCACAATTTCTTCGGTATTGTTGAGAAATAGTTTCACCTGGTCTATGACAATCTTCAAAGGGACTGATCGATAAAATAGCCCATGATTGGTCCACCAAATCTCCTTGGTATTTTCATAATGTCCCACTCTAATGTCCAAATATCGTACACCGTGTATTAGTTGGCCAAGAATATCTAGATCCTAAGAGTTCCTTCATTTTTATGATAAAAAAAAGTGTGAAAATTGTTACGTTTACCTGAGTCACGGCTAAGTTTGCGATGAGGTTGAAGCTGTTATCATCCTCGTCGTACGACGCGGAATCATGAGTTCCAGGCAAAAATATTTCTTTCATTTTCAAAGGACCCAGGATACTTTTTAAATCTTTCATCCAAGTCGGCTGCGTCTTAAAGCACTTCACTTTCTTCGTTCCTTTATTCGTATTCCATACCAGTGAATACTCTGAAAAGAATACCAGAGAATTTTGGAAATACGGGACTTCATTTAACAATCGTTGACAATCGAATATCACACAGGATCATCTGTTCAAATTTTATTTCGAAAAGTACCATTGCGTTGGATCGCGATCTTCAATTGACATTTAAATTCTACCACGTCTTTTCACTAATACGTAAGTTAAATAAAGCGCGACTGCACCTCTTGACACGTCTTGATAACATTTTTCTAACAATCTAAACATCTAAACAATCTGTAAACATCTTTTGCACGAAACTTTTGATAGATTTCTGCCCTCTGTAATTCGAAGGTTCCACTTTTTTTAAGGTTCGAGTGAATCAATTTGTAATCGTTTAATATACGCAATTAATCGTCAATCAACAGAGTGGAACGTTCGAGAGAAAAGCCAGAACTCACTTAAGCATTCCTGTAAGAAAGAAAAGTTCGTGCTGGGTATGAACTCGAATTGCACTCCTGTGTTCCGAATACCACTCGGACTGTCAGGTGTCACAGTGTAAATTCGGTGCAAAGATCCCGAAGGACGTTCCTCGTACAATGAAATCTCGTCTCCTGATCCGAGGTCGATGTTGTTCCAATATATCTCTATCTCACGGATCTTCGATTTTAAGATCAGCGGAGAAACCAGTATGCCAATTTGTGACTGCCCTAAGTAAACAATAAGCGAGACTTTACATATCGTCCTCGGAGTTATCGAGAAAAATATACTCACAATTCCTCGAGAATGAGTTGCAGTTCCTGACAGCCGAAGTCCCACCAATTATCACCGATAGGGAAACGAGCAGTATACTTGTTATGCATCGTGCCATTGCTTTTCTGTAATTAGAGGAAGTGGATGAGGTAATAAGCATTTTTCCTTGTTTCCGTCTAAAATTATTATCTTACAATTAGCGAGTACATGGAAATGCTTTAAGAAACATTGCTCAGAGTTTGTTTAAAATCAAAGTTGAAAAAGAAGAGATGACAATCTCCTTCTCTTGTTTTGTTTTAAAATTACCATTTAAAAGATTATTTGTAAATATTTTGAAAAGCATCGTGAAGAATTTGTTAAAAATTGTTCATGATAAAAAATTCTCATAGTGCATGTAGATATCATGACAGTCATTTTTTCCTGTTTGGTTTTGAAAATCGGAAAAATTGTTTCGTAGTTCGAACGTTTTAAACAAAATGGAGAATTGAGAAAATCGCGTTAGGAGATCCAGATCTAATAGAGATCAAGCGTATACGAATAAATAAAAAGCTCTCCATTTAATTTAATTAACGAAATATTAAGTCTCGCAAAAATATTTTTAGCACGTGACAATTTGTCGAAGATAATTAACCAAGAAGATATCCATAAGAGCGTCATCAAGTATGTTCAAATGAGTCAAAATAAATATATTAACATTCAAATTATTCAAAATTATGTATCGCAGAAAATGTATTATCGCGAAATACATAATAGTAAATATACTATACCCATTTCCATTTTAAGATTACTATTCAAATTACCACGCGCAGGTATTTAGGAAAAATTCTGTAAAATAATTTATATGCGGAGAAATTCCACGAACATGTATGTAGAATTATCTTCGAAAGGATGATAAAAAATTGATTAACATTATTTATGAGAAAATACATTAGACCAAGTCGTTTTTCTACGTTTCGTTTTAAAATTACCATTATAATTACTATTACATACACGTGTAAGTATGTGGAAAAAATATCGGTGTGAAATTAGTTAAAATTATGTATAATTAGTACTGGCTAATCGTTTGCAATCAATTAAACGATTGCAAAATATCAACTGGTTTATTAAATATTAACTCACCTATTAAAATTCATCTTTCAACGAGAGGCAATAGAACGAATCTCGTACGTGACAGAATCTTTAACAGTTATGAACTGATCCCTGTTGCGTATATGTCACTGGACCCGTGTGATCAGTCAACGTTAGGTCCTTCCATTTCGTGACAATTATAATTACGATAAGCTAAAAGAGAAAAAAAAAATTAATTCCTTATCGAATAGAAAACTAGGGATTTAAAATGTTTATTAATTTACTTCTAATTTAAATTTAAAAAAAAAATTCGTTAACCTTCCGCGTATAATACGAAAATTCGTGACGAAAAATAGAAATAATTTTGCCACTGGAAATTTCACAATCTCAGTCTCCTTTAAAATCACTGCTTTTAATGAGATACAACGGTTAATCTAAATGATTATTAATCTGGATCGTGACCACGAATTTATTGAACACTGGATTAACTGACTTTTGCGATAATCGCGAGTAGAATGAGAAGGAAATACACGAACAAGATGGGAAAGAGCGAGAATGAGAGAGAAGAGAAAAAGGTAAACAAAAACACGTGACACTACGATCAGACGTATACAGCGTGATTTTGCAAGGAATCCTTCGTTGTTTCGTAATAAGCTCGTTGATCATGATCGTGCGTATCATTATTGCGACTTTTTTTAAATAAAAATACTAATCGATGGATGTATAAGTAATAACACTATAATATATAATGTAAAACGTTAACCTAAAAACCATAAAATGGAGGATTACACAAAAACTAAAACAGTTAAGAGGTTTATTCTTATCTTGAGAGTCAAGTGAGTGTATCCCGAGTTTATCGATATCCATAATTATAATTATCTGTGTTTCTGCATAATTACAATTTATCGTCAAAGTTTAAAAATAAGTGGCTTAGAGAACTTTCTAGACACTATTCTCGCATTTTTGCACTATGGTCTTCATTCAGCACGAATTTGCTGTACGACATCGTATTCTGTAGATCTTTCAGATACAGAAGTCACTGAACAGAGTTGTCGAAGCGGTTTGAAACTCGATTAGACGGAGTAAATATTCGTCTGTAACGCGTATACAATGTTTTACCGCCACGCACCATTTCCCACGTGTTTAGACTGAGCAGGGCCGTAACTACACGTAATCGCTCCCGGTAGTAATTATAATTTTGCTTATTTCTTCAGAATTTTACTCTAACTAATATTTTCTACCTCTAGCTCACATCTCAAAAATACAGTGTAAAAAACAAAACTTCAATTCCACGTGAAAGCGGTTATCAAATAATTTAACTAATCTTGGAAGGGTTAGTCGACTCATTCTATTTAACTTTCGTATTCGCGATGTCGAAAGGATCGTAAACTGGTGTTTGCTTTTGAAAATCATCTTCAGTGCCACGATGAAAAAAGATAGAATTACATTAAAAATTAAAAAAATTTCTTGTTGGTTTGGGCTCTCCCGATAATTCTGCAGCCAATGTTCAAAAGCCTTGTTAATGAAAGCTTGCGCTGGACAACTATCACACATGCATAATTTTTTTCTAAAGTATTAATAATTTTTATTGAAATTCAAGAAATAAAAAATCGATACATTCTTTTCATGTTTCTATCTTTAAGAATTTCATTTTTATATATTATGGGCTAATAAAATGTAGCTATAGTTGAACAGTTTCTTACTAGATGGGAGCACATGTACGTACAACGATAGTTGGAAATTTGTTGCAAGTATGCATTGCACATAAATATCTAACAATTGAAAGATACAAATTGAAGGAAATTCGAATTAATTAGAAATTAATAATCTATATCATTCTATTTTTCCTTATAACTATAAATCGCAAAACTTCGTGATCACTATGCACGTTTGATATTATATCGTACATCAAAATTTTACACTAGCCTGTTTCAAAGATGATTGCATTGCTTGTCTAGTTGCAACAAACTTCTAATCGGTACCACCTCGAACGTACCGGTAACATGGTGGAATACCTACGCGTGTAAAAGTGAAACTTTCGAGGTCTACACAAAACATTTCGGGAAATGGTGTTATTACCAATCGATATTTCAATTACTGCAATCGAAGGAATGTAAATTCAAAGACAAATAATGTGCGGAATCGTTTGTTAATTCATCGCAATTGGAGGTTACTTTTGTAAATGTGTCGGAATATTTACAAGTGGATCACAGCAAAAGACTGAGAAATTGAGAACTTCAACAACATCAAGGAATCTAAGGGGGAACATTTGTGTCATCGCAATATACCACACGTGGAATAAAGTGAGGTTAAATAGTGCACGTGTAAAGTGATGTGTGAAGTGACACGAGTGTAAACATATAAAGATATTATATAGGAACACAGTTTCGATTATACGTTATAGATTCCGTTATTCCATTGCGATATTTGGTTTACATAGGTAGAGAAAGGTAGTCTTCTAATAGTTTCTACAAGTTATCTTCGATTTCGACCGTTTATCTGTGAAATAAAGTAACGGAAGGAAAGTAAAGGAATTGCATAGTAATCTATTCCCGATTGTAGAATAGAAAATTTCGTTTTATTAGCACTGAATAGACTTCCTAATTAGTTGGTCGATTTTCTTCGGATTTTCGGCGTTTTTTAACCAAATAAAGTACCCAAATGGAAGGGCGTGGCAGGTCGTATTGCGTAATTATATCTTTTTGCTTAGCTCTCCTAGATTTCGATTCTGGATTCGGATTTTTTATGCTCACTCGATAGATCCGCCGCTCCACTAATAGAATCAGTGTTTTTTTTTCGATTCTCTCCGTTTTTTTCCTAAATACAGTGCCGGATGTGGAAGTGTGTGACAGGTCGTACTGCGTAATTATCTCTCGTGGCTTAGCACTCCTAAATTTCGATCTTGGATTCGGATTTTCTATGCTCACTCGATAGATCCATCCCTCCTCTAATAGAATCAGTGGTCCTTGTGCGATTTTTCCGGCTTTTTTTTTTAAATACAGTGCCGGAAGTGGTGGCGTGTGACAGGTCGTACTGCGTCGTTATCTCACGACGCTTAGATCATTGAAACATGGAATTCGGATTCGGATTTTTTATATTCAATCGATAGAGCGAAACCTTCCCTAATAGAATCAGTGGTTCTTTTCCGATTTTTCCGGTTTTTTTTCGAAATACAGTGCCGGAAGTGCGGGCGTGTGACAGGTCGTACTGCGTCGTTATCTTTCGTGGCTTAGCTCTCTGAAATTTGCATTTTAGATTTGGATTTTTTATAATCACTCGATAGAGCGAACCCTCCTCTAATAGAATCAGTGATCCTTGTTCGATTTTTCCGGTTTTTTTTCGAAATACAGTGCCGGAAGTGCGGGCGTGTGACAGGTCGTACTGCGTCG